TAGACTTTAGCTTGCTTTGTCTCTCCGAGGTTAAATGGATATAGCCTAGCGTTAAGTATGAGGGGTCCTGGATTCGATTTACAGGATATCTGTTAAGTTTAGGCTTTTCGCGTATGCTTTATATTTGTGTAGTTTAGAAATCAATCAAATGTCTTATCATACTACTAATTTGTAAGTAAAATAGATAGAGAAACGGACACTAAAATGTATCCGTCCCTAACCCCATATAAGGAAAGCGGGATATTACTTATTTACATACTGTTACCACTACTTAGTTATGTATTTCCTATGTTCGAAATTTGAAAGCAAAAACGCATTCAAACTTTTTTCGATTCCCTTAACGCACAGATAACAAAAAGGCCTTTCAAATGTTTTATACTAACGGTACTAGCGCAGGCATTCTTTTTATTTAACGAAGCAGACAACCAGCCTTTTGTATAATCTGTGTACGCGAGGGGCAAATAGCCTGGTCCTTTGTAATTTCAGTCCCTTGATTAAAATATGGCTTATCCTAATCGCCGTTTATTGTCGTTAATGTGTGATAGATGGTATATCACGAAAATGTTTCAGTTCCAATATCTACGTCAAACTGATAACATAAATAACCACTGATAATTTCGATTTTATGATTAACGCGATAAAGACATGATGTCCCAGCATCTAGTCACGTTTCTATACAGTTTTAAGTCATATACATAAATAATAATTCATTATTACGGTATATTAACTAACAAAAATTAAATTATGAAAAAATTAGAGCAATACATGTCGCTTCGGACCGAGGTAGACTTTTTTTGTAAGAGAGGAGGAGAGACAAGCTTGGTCATTACAGGTAAAATATTCTAGCCAAATAACATCTTGGTAAGATGCATTGTCGAGCTATTTTCGCTTTGGATATTCGGAAATCCACAGATTCAAACCAACTTGCGATTTTTCACGATTTAGATTACGAGGCGACGTGCAACATGTTTCAGAAAACGTACGTGGGATCCGTTAATTTGTCGGGCCCTGGGCCACAAACATGGGGACAAAAATTATATCAATATTATATATCGGCATTGTGCCTAGATACAATAAGAGCTGAGTGGTCTATACACTTCTAATAAATTATTTTTCGCCTGTTTTTATATTTTTATTTGATATCATTTGTGGACTAAAGTATTTTCCAGTCCAGATTAACTGAATAATCTAAGAGAAAAAGACTTGCATTACTTTTGAAACCGCGGTTACAGTCTAGTTCAAGTATAAATTTGCATAAATATCGTGTTCTGTGGAGTATAGTATGTAAATGAATCGAAATTAAGTGGTTTTTGAACAATTAAAAATTAATTGCTCTACTAATAATTACTTAATTACAATCATATCTAGAACGAGGTATATGTTTATATCATATTTGTATACACTATAATTGTCAATTCATTCAATTTCTCGAAGGGCGGATTATTGTAGTGACGGGTCGTGGATTCTAACATAGAAATGCTTTTTGTCATAACAGTTTGAAATATGGTAGCAAAAATGAAATTCTGGGTCATCTTTTATTGATGAAAAAGCCCCGAATTGGATTGCCAAAATAATATAGTGACATGGCCGGCAGACACACATACCTTCTACAAACAGACGACGATCTACTACGATCGACTAGCTACTTTCAAACATAAAAAAATGTATAATTATGTGATTCTCCACAGCTATTTATTGTTCGAGTAATTTTGTACGGCCATTGTGTTTCATTATGATAAAAATATTATAAACAAAGAAGCTAGACTATATTCCTTTGCTAGTAATTTTGTATTCAATACAAACGAGAAGTTGAAGGACGGATTGTATACTTAGTACTTAAATACTGTCTATAGTTTACGCGAATAGTACACATTTAAATAACACTTCAACGGTTTAAAACGCGATATATTAGTTAAACTTATTTGAAATTTATTTTTAACTTCGGCCCGATGTTTCGGTTTTGCAGCAGCCGTGGTCACGGGCAGACTAAAGATGGAGGATGTCTCTAACGTCAAAGTAAAAAATTGCTACGCTAGCGCCGTGTGTTCCGTCGAAGATGGTATTTGGCGAAAATGGCCGGAAATTTTCAAATAATAAATATATCGCGTTTAAACCGTTAAAGTGTTTTATTTAAATATTTAGCACTTGTCTATAGTCAGTAGACTAATAGTAATATTAACGATTTAACACTTTCCGTCTTCATAAATATGGTATTATTTAAATTTATACTAATGTGAAAAGCTGAAGAGTTTGTTTGATTGAACGCGCTAATCTCCGGAACTACTGGTTCGTATCGAAAAATTGTGTGCCGGTTATAGTAATCAAGGAAGGCGATAAAATATGCTGCGACTTATAGAAGCGAAGAAACAGCGGGAAATGTGAAAAAAGCGTGGAAATTATTCATCTTTGTGGGTTTCCGATGCAAAAACGCTTCAAGATGCCCAAAAAACATTTTTGTGCATGTCAATGTTGTAATTATTCCTCTTTAAATGATTTACGAAAATCTTTGAAATTTAATTGCAAGAACGACACGACGATCGACATAGCTTTAATGACATAGAGCTTAACAGTAAGTTTGCAAAAAAGAATTTCGATGTCCAAAATCAATTTTCTACGCGGACGAAGTCGCTGACACAGCTAGTATTATAATGAGTCACCCTAACATGATCCGGCATGAGTCCTAGCAGTGGGTAGTAATTTGATTTCGGTCTACTCCTGGGTTTTGAACTACATTGCCTATCATTTATATAAATTATGGTGGGAAACTGAAAGTGACTTATGTTATCATAATTTGAGATGTGTATTTTCCACGAAGTGCAATTTGCTCAAGCCGTATGCAATTCACTGGAAGTGACGAGACAAACAATATCTATGACATCTCTGTTTATTGTGTCTAGATCTAGATCTTTTCGCTCTAATTCCTTCATAGTTACCTTGACGTCAATTACAATTAAAATGGGACTACAGTGAAAATATGTATATCTAAGCAATGAGTAAATACAAATTCTATTTTCTAAAGAATAATTAGCATAAAACATTTTAACGGTTGAAAACGCGATATATAATTAGTTAAACTTATTTGAGAATAATTCTCAAATCTACGGCTCAACGTTTTGGATACTTTGCAGGAGCCGTGGTTATGGGGAGACTCATATACATCGCGTTATAACAGCGTTGAAGTGTTTTATTCAAATGTGTACTACTCGCGTAAACTACAGACAGTATTTAATGATTAACATCATATAATATCCTAATAATAATTAGATAAATATTTGAGGGCGAATTAAGTGACATGGTCTTTACTTAATGTGGAGTCAACCAGTGTCCAACAGAAAATAAAGATCTATATTTTCCGATTTGTATTCTAGCTACGGAACTCTTTAACACGAGTTCGACTCGTCCTTTCATGTTTCATAATAAAACGCTTATGTCTTTGTTTAAATAAATAAATAGTTGTGGTATATCTTGCTGTGTATTTTGTTTAATAATATTTGTCATAGTCACGGGGTAACACGGCTGTTGAAAAGCATATGAAACGTCAGGCCGTAGATAGAATGAATTGTAAATAAGTGTAATATAGTACACTAGCTGTGTCAGCGACTTCGTCCGCGTAGAATAGTTATTTTGGGTATTTCACATTTTCAGCTGCTTCTTCGCTCTTATTACTCACAGCGCGATGTTTTATAGCCTACCCCGATAAATGTTCTAACACAAAAATATTTTGTAACCTTGTTCCTTAGATTAGCGCGGTCAAACAAACACACTCTTCAGCTTTATATTAGTATAGATTAATGCGCGGCATGTATTATCACTTCGCGTTTTGAACCCTTAAATGTGATTTTTCAAATGTGTACTACTCGTGTGAACTACGGACAATATTTAATAATTTAACGAGAAAAAGTTAATATTATATACTCAACACACATTTTCAGACTGCAATATACAGACGTAAAATACTATATAAACTTTGCTTCTTGATCTTAGTATTAAGATAACAAGTCCACAGACTGTTGTTTTATTTACTTTAAGAAATTCAAAAAATATCTACTTCGACCTTCAAATATTACCTGCTCATCGCAAGGTAAGGTAATTCCAGGAACGCTAAGACGCTGGTAGTATAAAAGGAATTTACGAAACTTGAGTAAAGAAATACTTTGACTATTGTAATTGTCTGCAATTTATTGACCACATACAACACATTGACTACACACTATATTGCTGACTTGAAAAATACATTGATTCACGTGGTATGCTAAAATCATGCCGTAATGTTAAAACGCTCGCGCTACATCTTGTGCGAAGTTAATAGGAAGATATTTGTTAGCAGTTAGTATATTTAGGGTATGTCTGTTTCATTGGTGATTAAAATAATGTGCTGATTCTAATAAAATGGACGTGGAACGATTTATATAATTAATAAAAAAAATGGTGTTTTATAGTTCGCGTTTTTCACGACATTAGGCTTTGTAACTTATATAAAAAACTTTGTATGACTGCATATATTTCTTATCGTAATCTATGTTACAATGAACAATTATTAAAGTTTCAAACGTTAAAACCAGTAATTTCATATTCAATAATTATCTAAAACTGCAAAGCAAAAGATATTGAACCTTAATCTATAAGAGTTAGAGTTAAAATTACATTCCGCGAGAGGTGTATATGTCAATTGTTTGAAAAAATTCGACTATGCTGCAGCCAGACGGCAACAGCAGAGATGCGACAACGGCACAGAACTCTGTGGATACCGGTTCAAGTCCCGGCCGTGTCGTAAATTTTTTTCAATCTAGAATCGATTTTAAATTTATATAGTGCCATCATATGCCATAACACGTGGAAAATATTAAAGTTTTCAAAGGAACAATTAATACTGTCAGCAGAGTGAAATTCAAGACGTTTTTCACTCGTATTTATAGTTAGTTAAATGTCAATCACTTTAAATGCATCTGAAAAGTGCATTTCAAATCTAAGATATAATTTCTTCTCAATATTTCACTCACCATAATTATCTGATGCACACGGAGTAATCACTGGGTGATAAATAACTCAACACGTGCGCCTTCTGTGGCGGTCAGCACGCGACTGCCGATTTTTCAGGTTAGTTGCAATAAAAATGTATGCGCACGCGCATCTATGATAATAAGATTGATAACGATAAGGTGTATACGGGGTGGTTTCGATAACGAAATGTTAATGTCTCGAGGCTTTATGCGTATCACATGAACAAAAACAATAAAACGTACTTAGTTCTGACTTTAATTATTATTTTTTTCACCATGTTATTTACAAACATAGTCTCCTAAACTTATCGTAGAAAACATAGATTAGATGTTCGTTGTTATTGGAAGCAGTTTATGAGATATGTGCGTATGTACTTAAATGGTTCGTGGGTTCGAATCGCGGGAACAACACACAAAAGTCCGATAGCCTGTCAATTAAAATCGATTAGTGAATCGGTCACAAAAATGAGTTCTGCCTATGCCTCGCGGAGAAAACCTAGATTTTAATGTTCCGATTATTTTTGCCACGATATTTGAATTTATTTATCCTTGTACGTGAGTAAAAAATAACCTTCGAACATCTCTTGAAGGCTTTATTGTTATTTTATCAGGTGATAAAATGTCTGTAAAAACTTCGTAAGTTGAATATGTCAAGTTGCACTGTTGTTTAGATGTTTAGACAAGTGTTTACGTTTTAAGGTGCATGTGGACAGATGTTATCTGAATGGTAGTACAACTTAGTCCTAGAACACATTTTCTTGCACAGCTTTAAAAGCGAAAGTCTGGGTTCGAGTCCCTATTGTTTTAATTAAGTGTTATAATCGTAAAAACATGACAATTGCTGTAAACGCGTCGAGTAACGTTTAAACATATTCAACAATCGAAAATGTACATTGTATTTGATTTGTGTGACGGCTGCTGCAAAGCATCCGAAACGTCGGGCCGAAGTTAAAAATCATTTCCAAATAAGTTTAACTAATATATCGCGTTTTAAACCGTTAAAGTTTTTATTTAATGTGTACTACTCGCGTAAACTATAGACAGTATTTAATGTAAATATTGTCTGTAGGTTACGCGAGTGCACAATTTAGTGGACCACAATAGTTAAACTTAATATAGATTACGTTTTCAACCGAGTGTATATTGAGTGTATTATTTAAATTGAAAATATATGCAACAATATTTTGTTTTTAACACACACTTATATTAAAATCTCCTTAGTTACATATTATGTCAGAGGAGGACCTTGTTCCGAGCCGTATATACCCCAGACTTGTAACGTCTTAACAAGGTGCGTTGTGGACCTATTTCGGCTTTGGTCATTCGTAAATCCACGGACGGAAACCGAAACGCGATTAAACTTCAAGGCCTTTTCATCTGTTGTTGGGAAAAATAATAAATTGATTACAAACAAGGACCTGGTGGGGATCGAACTTATGACATGACCTTGATTTACAAGCCAATAAATAAAGCTTTATGTATTTTAAATTAATATAGGTTTGATAAGGATCCAAATATATTATAGCCTATACGAAAATCCGATTAGTTTGATTCCGGCTTATAGCATCTCCCATCTAGTATCGGACTCAGACGTAGATTGCAAACGCTAATAGCTTATCTAGGGACTCTCAGGAGGGGTAAGTGATAATAATCTCTTAGGTAGTTTTTTTAATTGCTTTTCGATACTGGCAAGTTTCATTTCGAAAGAGGCGTTTTAGCGATATAAATCGATTCGTCGGAACATTTTAGAGAGCTTATTTGTTTAAATAAAACACTTTAACTGTTTAAAACTCGATATATTAGTTAAGAGATTAGAGCTTATTTGTATTGAAAATGTTTACAGTGATATCAGACTGGTCAAGTGCGAGTCGAGATTTCGCATAAACGGTTCCATAATATTGACAAGAACACAAATTTCATATAGCAATCTCGAGTTTTAGACAATTCTAACTTACACGGCTGCTGCAAAGCATTCGAAACGTCGGGCCGCAGGTAAAATAAAATCTTTATTTAATATTTATAACATTTCGCGTTTTAAGCCGTAAAAAGAGTTTTAAAAGCTTTTAATTTAATTTTTATCCTATCTGTTACCGTGTATCGATCGAGGCACATTTTGTATGAAGACCTCTCTAAATTATTTATTTTATTTTAATTTTATTGCATTGTATATTCTTTGGGTAAGGCACCCGAAAGTTGACGAAACAAGGCAGAATTCGAACCCACGTCACCTAAAGACAAAAACACTGCAGTAAAGTTAGATGTATCGTAGAGTTAAAACAGACAGCGTCATTGTATTTCGTTGTACGCGAGTTTGACTTCGAAATAAAAAAAAACTATTTATCATTAAAATCTTTACAAGTACCTCGTCTTAGAGTGGGTCTTCTTTCTTTTCAAGTGTTATTTAATAATACACTATTGTAGAAAAATTAAAATACATTTGCTCTATTCGTGACTCACTAAAATATTCCGTTCTTATCAATACAATGCAATATTAGTGCGTTTCGCGTAATTTAATTGTTAAGGGCAATAAAGAAAGACTTACGTAAGTGCAAAACAATCATATATAGAAAAATAAAGAAAAATCTTTTTTCAGTTTCACATTTTGGATGAGTGAGGTGGACAAACGAATGTGGGTTTTTCCTTAATTGATATTTGATGTTGAGATGTCTCAAACTTCTCCTTAACAGCTATTAAAATGCGCTGTTGCTGTGTATTTTAGCTTTGATTATTTTACGTATAATTTGCATTTTAATACCACTATGTAATTCCCCTTTCAACACATGTAGTAGATTTATTCATAACTCGTTGGGCTTAAAAACGTACTTGAGTTTTAGAGTTGGGCTCCAATGGGTATCGAACCCACGGCTATTTACCATACATCGTGATATGCCAAGGAGCTGTAAAGCGATAAGAATACGTTGTGTGTGTATTTACATGATAAATAACGATTCGCAATGCTTGAAGGTAACTGAAACTAAGCAAAGTACATTCCGTTATGTAAATTCTATATATGTGAGTACATAGATTTCGCCTTGTACGCTTCTTGTTAATACCCAGTTGACGTAGATATGTGGTTGTTTTAATTACTATTGGCTTGATTGGTTGGTCCAATGGTCAGCAAATATGGCTCAAAAATTTAGGCTTATTATACGAAAACAAATACGATTACAGCATGATTTCAGTTGTTAATTTCAGGAAGTTAAACTACGTAAGACAAAATGACACAAGCTCTTCACGTAGCGATCGTTAACCCTGACGAACTCGAAATAGATGCGACACTGGCAGGTTAGTTGCGAAAAAAAAACACGTGTAACATATGTCTTTAGTTTACGCAAGTACACCTCAAATTGTCGGGCATTGGTCCTAATGGTAGTAATATGGCTAATAATCAACGGGCCGTTAGTTCGATTCCCAACGGACCCGACATGTTTATAATTTTGTTTTTAACAGTTCGACTTCGTTTGAAAATTCTGAATGTTAAATGAGTAGTAGGGTAGGTAGTAGGACGAAAATCACGAACCACCGTTCACAGTTGAAAAAGTCGCGAAGTTTAATCGTGTTTTAGTTACCGTCTGTGAATTTCTAAATATACGTTAGTGTTGTTTTAACTGCGCCCGACGTTTTGATACTATGTGGGAGTTGAAAAATGTAAACTTTAAGTAATATATATCGCGTTTTAAACCGTAAAAGTGTTTTACTCTTGGTCTTTAATTTCAGTGCGATAAGTGATATCCCGTTTTCTCTACATTGCTTGACTGCACATATTTGCGTCAACAAGCAAGTTGGTAATCTGACTTGTGAGGTCTGTCCGAATATCTATCTATCTCGAACTATCTATCTATCTTTTGTTGTTTCTTGATTCGAAAGATTTCTCGCGCTTCCAAAGCTGTCGATTATAATGCCAGCACGAGACTATATATTCATTTCTCGTCCGAAGATCCAAAGCTAATATAAGTCAACAGCACATCTTGTTTAGATTTTATAAGGCTGATTTTATATTTCACCTTACGTCAAGTCAACGACATGCTTGCCTATTTTCCTCTACCTATTACAAAAAATAAATTGTCTTTCCAGCTGTTTTCGCACGAAAAGAAATAAATTGGATATCATGCATTTCAACATAATTAAGTTGAAAAACTTAATTATGTTTCAAATGAATGTTATCACTATAATTATAATTAAACTTCTAATCAGAGTATACAAGAATTAATATCTTTGCTATTTTCTATTCTTCAGGACCATAACCATATTTAAGTGAACCGAATTGATTTTTTAAAGAATGCCCATTGTTTTAATTAATAGTTACGTAAAATACCCGTTTATTATCAAAATAATTTATAATTAGTGGTTGATTAATGATGAAAAATTGACACACGCGGATCTCAAACCCTGGACTCACGTTACATGGCAGTAATGATGTACAATGCTCAAATTGTTGATGGGCCTGTTGGTGGGAATATTAACAATGCTAATAATGGACTAGGTTCGTCCCCACCGAGTCTAATATTTTTTCTAATTAATTTATAATTCTCCTGAAACATGTAGAACTTCGTCTGAAACTGGGAACATTAAATTGGGGGTAGGAATATCGAAGTTTCGTGTAGGTTACGTGCCATCGTCCACAGATGAAAAGTGAAGTTTAATGCGTTTCGGTTTGAGTCTGTGGATTTCTGCATATTCAATGCCAAAATAGGTCAACGGCACATCTTGTTTAGATATTATCATAGGGGCTTTCACCTAATAGAACGTGAACACCGTGATTGTCTGGTCCTCCTCAATTGTAAAAAAGATATTTTTTTTATAGAAATCTGTCTCTAAAATTATAGATTATCTTTGGGGAAATAGCTAAATATAGGTTATTTAAAGAATAGAGCTTATGTAGCCAATATGGGTTGCGTTCAAATTGTACAACAATGACAAAAGGCTATATGCACGAAAAGGTTCCCTCGCTTCCCAGCTTTAATGTCGATCGAGCTGTCAAAAGTGAACGAACAAGCTCTTAT